CACAAGTACATATTGCCTCCACCTTCAGAGTGATATATTCCTTTGAATCATCAGTTGACTTTCAATGGACCACACCAAGTTATATCCCAGAAGACAAAACGCTTCATAGTCACTCCCATCAGAACCTCAAATCCAAGAAGCATCTTGCTATTTGCAGAATTTTATAAAAGTAAAAAAATGCTAACATAAATGTAGACATAGTGTTAGTTAATAATACAAATCAAGTACAACACAAGTCCATTCAGTTTCTAACAGCAAAATGTACAAATGAATTTTCAGCTATTGGTGTAACCATAATAATAATAATAATAATAATAATAATAATAATAATAATAATAATAATAATAATAAATTCATATGGGAAAATGGTGTATAACATACAAAAATGCATTCCTTAGCATAAACATGAGATTATTTTTTAATGTTATTACATACATACATACATACATACACCATAAGTATTTTATGGTTAAAACAAAACTTTGTGTTAGATGGTCTTAAAATATAATATCAAAATAGCCCCGCAGTGAGCATAACAAAATTTCTCTAAGGCATATGGGCAAAAAAGTATCCAGAAATACTGGTTAGTATAAATGTTAATGATTGTTCTGGGAGGTGGCCACATATAGATATGATGTTTTATATCCTTTAAAAACTCCAGCATACAGTAAGAGTGTATCTGGCAAAAAGTCTATCAGAAGGCAGATCTCAAAGCAAAATGTACAGTACCAGTACCCTGCTACTTTTACATTTCCAAGTAAAGAATGAAGTACTGATACAGACATATACAAAAATTAACAAACATAAAATAAGCAGACAGCAATGTATAACACATCATAGTTCTGCAGCTGCCAAAAAGAAAAGGATATTCTGCATATATGCTGAACAAAATCAAATCAACTGACGAAATGAGAATTAACCACAGTTCAATCAAAATGGCATAATCTCGTAAATACTTTTCAAAGGTTCAGTATTCTGGGGCTTCACTCTGTGACAACAGCTCTTTATATCTGCATTATTTTTTCACATCTTGATCATCAAAGGGCTGTGATGATAAGTTATGTAGCTTCAGATATCATTACACATGCTTTGTGTCATCCATACAGTAGGCCAGTTAACATCCATCCCGTTAGCCCATGCAAGGAACAGAAATTCTTTTCTTATTAACTGAGACCATAAAACCAGCTCTACTAGCCAGAATAACTAGGGACTGGATTTTTATGCCATAATAATCCCTTAAATATGTAGGCATTTATGCATGAAAAACTTCCAAAATATGCACTAAAATATGCACATAAAAATTTATACCAAATACTAAAACTGATTTCACATTATTTTAAAACCAACAAATCAACATTTAAGTCCATTTTATGGGGTAGATTGTTCATTCTTATTAAGGGATCCAACTACACAATTTGCAATAGACCGTCCCTCACAATCTTGTGTTTCGTCGATTGATACCCACACAAAATTATCTTGAATCTTATTTCTAATGCTTTCAATTGTAAGATCGTAACACTGCTTCACGTAATTTTTGTGCACAGTAGATTCATCCGGAACTCTGCACTGTGTATACTTCTCTATGAAGTTCCTCAGAGTAGGATTGGTTAGTTTCCACAGCGGAATATCTGCCACTAAAAAGACTTTGCATAAATCAAAGGAAAACTGTGAAAAACTATTATTAGAAAATTCACTAAGCAATTTCTGAACAGGAGCACTTTTCATGTATTTAATTTCAGTATTCTCTTTGTGTATATTAATGTTCAAATTCTGAAGCACTTGAAAGCGTTTTTCACAACCAACTGTTTTCTCACACGCTAGGCAATAAAGAATTTCATTATCCATACTTATCATCTCTCTTTCAAACTCCCGCTGATACAGGTGTAATTTAGTTTTCTGACTTACTTTCACTTCCGGCATGACTACAGAAAGCTAAACAAACTTAACTACATACTAGTCACCACTAATGTGAATGGCCCCAGCTTCAAATGAAGAAGCGTAACAAACCTATTGGAGACTTCGGAAATAAATAAATGTAGTCCCATATCGGTCAAATAGTATTACACTGATAGTGGCTATATGTGAACGCTTCCGACTAATCTCTTTGCGGCCACTTTGATGGTACGCGGATGAGGCAAGATACGAGTAGAGGGATCGGGGAAGTCCCATCCTGGGTATTGCATCAGAAACTTGAATCATGACGAAATGTTGAGTCAAATATGCAACATATTCTAATACGGAAAAGAAAATTTGTATACACATAATGATTGAAAATTTGAACATAAAATTAAAAAATATATATGATAAACATTTTAGAAAGGAAATATGCAGAATAAATATCTTCAAAAATATGATGCTTATTCATAAAACAGGCAAAATATGCATTTATATGCACCAGCAAACCATGTCCAAAATTTAAGAAATGAAGTAATTCATACATATATCCAAATGAACATACTTTCTGGCTGCAAGAAAGAAATATGCATTTGCATTAAAATCTGGTCCCTAGTAATAACTAAGTTGTGGGTTTACGGAATTCACACACGGGTATTTGGAGTATACGCCGATGATTTGGTCTGAGACTCATTCGTGCATATTTTTAAAACATAAAATTGCACATATTCATAAACACAGACTCATGTGAACTCAACTTTCATCCCTTCATGGCTGAAGAAGACTGCAGTGGCTTCAATGAGTTGGAGAAAGCATCACGAATGGTAGGGTAATAATATGCCATTAATGACTGTCTGATCTTTCTCAAAGTGCATGCTGTGCCACAACAACCACTCATCATTTCTCAATACTAGTACATCACAGTGTATTTCAGTTATTGAAAAAATATAACTGAAAACTGTACAAACCCAATGTGAAATGCCTGAAAAATCGCACAAAATCATGTTCAAAATAAGACAGAAGTTTAAATTCAAAATTCAAAGACGGAATCAGCAACAAAACTGGAAAATGATATCAGGGTATAAACTGTGACATGAATAAAAACAAAATGAAGTTACTGAAATTTGCAGCAAATTTTGATGATGCTGGACCTTAATAACAAAAGAACCTGAAAAATTGTTATAAGAAAGGTTGCATGCCACTCTACTGCAACAGTTCAACCAGAAATGAACAGAAGGAATGTGTCTCTAGTTCAATGTGTGTATACAAAGCAACATTCTTTCATGAAGCAAAGGTGGAAGGAGAGTTCATCCCTAAGCTGAACAGGTGACCAGGCTTAAGTAATGATTTGTAAAACTGCTGTACATGTGCAATCGCTTAGTGCCAGTGCCGTGGCATTTGTTTCATTCTGCATGGAATTTCAGATATGCATGCTAGAAAAGACCAAATTTACAATGATGATGATTCTAGATTGCACTGAAAAGATATGCCTAGAAGAATCCTGCTTTTGAAAGAGAAAAATTTGATCCCTGGCATGTCATGTCATGTCATGTCTTCAGTCATGTGTTGTGGAAACAGTGGTGGAAATCATAAAATGAAACTAGTAGTAACCAGAACAGCCAAAAAAACCCACACTGGTTCAAGGATGCCAAAGCAAACAACATCCCAGTCCATTACTACCACCAGAAAGGAGCACAGATGGGTAGAGAAATTTCTGAAAACTGCTTCCAGAAGATGTTTCTTCCCAGAGCTCATCTCTTCTGAAAGAGAAAGGTTTACCACAAAAAGTAGTCTTGCTGCTAGGTAATGCCCTTTCTCATCCCAATGAAAGCACAATGACTTCCGACAATGGACTCACTGTAAAGTTCTAAACCCATGTCACATCCACAATACATCCCACAGATGGAAGTGACTTCCATGAAACAACACTACTGGCCTGGCTTTCTCAGAACTCCTGGCAATGAAGGTGACAACCTGATAGAATTCTGGAGAAAAATTGCAGTATTAGATACTATCCATGGTGTGTCTAAGGAGTGGTTTACTGTAAAATCAGCAGCATCTATTCAACTGTTGAGGAAATTTCTTCCATCTTAAATAAATATGATTGCCTGGGTTTCTTTAGCAAAGAAACAACTACATTTAACGTGACTATTTTAGTTAATGTTCTGTTGACAAAGCCCGTGGTTGAGAAGCGACTTCTGCCAACCAGGCTGCCCAACATATGACTGACACAGATATCATTCAGTTCCACCATTAAAGAAAGCAAAGAGGGAAAAAGTAAATAAAGCAAAGAATAGGGAAAGAGTGCTGCATCAAACACAGTGTGGAATTTCAGTGCTGACAATTTTCTGAAGTACATAAGTCAGTGGGGCTCCAAATATAATGACATTACAGACATGTGACAAATTCATGAGGATAAATATAAAGAACTCTAAAAAACAAACAAACATTACAGACTATTTATTAAAATAAATATAGTAATGCTATTGTAGGTTTAAGTACACTTGGAGCTATACCTCCACTACCCATACATCTTCATGTTGTGGTGGTTAATTAAGTACAAGGCCAATTTTACCTTCACCTTACACAACATGCATCACTGAAGATGCAACAGTGTTTCTGTAGTTTGGTATATTTTTATGAATACTGATCTCATAGTACGTACAATACCATGATTCTGCAATGAGGTTGTAATACACCAAACAGTTTGTGTGTAGTTCATTCATCCACTGCAGCTATATACTGAGAAGGAAGAACAAATGGAGTTCACATACAGCTATAAAATCACACTTACCGATAAGTCAACCAAAAATATAACAAGTCGTGAAATGATACAGTAATAAACTTCTGTGTGTGTTTATACTGTAAATTGGACAATGTCTTGGATTGTGTTTCATTTCTAAACATTAGGTCCAGCCAGGACTGCATATCCTGATGTATGAGTCAGAAGTACATCACTAACAGCAGATGCCAGCTGCAAATCATATCAATCATGACAGTGGTGTACTTATTTAGAATAAAGTTGGAAGTATTGAGTATTTCTCAAAAAATAAACTTTTATGTAAGGGCTGTATAGATGCCACTACATACATAAAAAATCTGATAACTGGCCTTTCTAATTGTTTTAGTTTATTAATTTCATAAAATATGGAAAAGACATTGAATTTTAAAGAATAATGCAAAACTTCTAATATTAAAATAGATGTCATAAGGAATTTAAGTGTGCATTGAATTTTAATACCCATTGCAGGAGATATAGAGACCCCAAACATCTCCACTGAATTGGGGAAGTTCTTTCACCTAATGTTATCTTGGTACGTTTCTTACTCTCTACAACAGTGAACAGAGTGGTGTCACTGTCTTGCAAGAAAAAGAATTTTTACATATACAATATAAAAGAAATATAAATGTACTAAAATAAACAATGCTTCACCTAAGAAGAGTACTAACTGCTGGGTCATAATGCTATGTCCTCCAGAAGATAACTACTCAGCAGTACATCCCAGAAAATAGTAAGTACTCTTCATCGTCACTGTTATGTAAATCTCAAATCCAACGTAGTGTTTCACCTTTGATTTGTTGCAACAGCTGATTCAAGACTGAATCTGCTCTAGTTCCGGTACGTACTGTTCATAATGGAAGGCAGCATACATCTCAAAGTTCAAATGAATCTGAAAACAGGAAGTTAATTAAAATTTTCTATGGCCAATTACATACAACACATGCCTGTAAACTGACTGCACTGTGGATGAAATTCTCATAAAGAAAGATAAAATCAAGTACAAATGGGGAAAAAGAAGATATATGGAGAGGATTACAAGGACAGGAGAAACAGATTCCAGAGACACAGAATGAGAGGGATATATACCAAATAAGTCTTCATACTGGATTCATCACATGCATACATTCACCCATAGCAGAAGGACAATAAAAAACTAACACAGCAAAAATAACATTAAATGATTCAAACCAATTTTTATTCTGCAACATGCACATTAAAAGACATACATGCAACTGGCAGTGTGAAATTTTACTTTAAAATCACATTATTTCTCTAAGCATAAAACAGCTTCAATTTTAAGGTGCTATCCTAAAAGCAGGTGCTACAACTCTCATTCCATTACCTGGGTAATATACTGTAGCGTGTTTGGTGTGTAAGTCAATAAATAAGTTGCAAATGGATATAAAACTTAAACAGATAAGGGTACTGATTTGAAAAATGCTTTTATTTCTCAACATAATCTCCCTGTACATTGAGGCACTTGTCCCATCTTTTCACAAGCCCCTGAAAACCAGCAGCATGAAATTCTTTGGGCTGTTGTCGGAACCAGGCATGTTCACATGGCATGGCCTACCTCATAATGCATGACAGGTTGCATGCTTCCGTTTAACGGCCTCATGAAGTTTCCTGAGGATGTTACAGTAGGAGTTGGCATTTACGGTTTGTCTTTAAGGCTGGAATGCAGTGAGCAGTATGCCTTTGTGATCCCAGAAGACTGTGAGCATCAGTTTCTTGGAGGATGCTGTCACCTTAAACTCTTTTTTGAGGTGACGCAGAATGTTTCCACTGCATTGACGCACGCTTTGTCTCGGGCTGGTAATGGTGAACCCAAGACACATCACCTGTGACAAATCGGGCTAGCATATTGTGTCCTTCATCGTGGTAGTGATTGAGATGCTGTAATGCCAGACCCATTCTTTGCATTTTGTGTTGTGGGGTCAGCATGCGCGGCACCCATCATGCACAGACTCTGTGAAAACCTAACCTGTCATGCATTATGAGGTAGGCCATGCCATGTGAACACGCCTGGTTCCGACAGCAGCCCAAAGAATTTTATGCTGCTGGTTTTCAGGGGCTTGTGAAACAACAGGACAAGTGTCTCGATGTACAGGGAGATTATGCTGAGAAATTAAAGCATTTTTTCAAATCAGTACTCTAATTTATTTAAGTTCTATACCCATTTGTAACTTACTTATTGATTTACCCTCGTAAAAGACAATTAAGAAACAGATGAACGCAAAAAACTATAAAATTGTCGCATTTACCAGTCAACGGAAATCTTACCATAATCAATATAACTGAATGTTTCATGTTCCTCTGATACAATTACTGCACCTCTTCCACCATTCATTAGTAACAGCACATATCCTACACACAGCCTGTTTTCACCTATACTCAATTGAAACATGTCATGTGAACTACCACTTTGATCTTGGTTTTAAGTTCAGTAAATCTGTTACTAGTGGTGTTTTGTATACATCTTTTACAAATCTATACATAAAATATCCATACACGAAGTCCAGAGAATATGGCCAACCAAACAGTTCACCTCAGCCAATTCACCAAACTAAAAAAATGTTCGAAGAATGCCATCTTCTGGGATGTGGTACCATGTAAATCTTGTGTGAACGGACATTTCAGAGGAACGTACTGCCTCCATCTTCAGGGTATAAAAATCTACAAGTGAGGTACCATCATGAGTAGGTGGTTGCAGACATCCCAGACAATGGCATTCTTCATAGTCACTGTTGTGAAAACCTCAAATCTTATATAGTGTTCCTATAGGGCTGCGCCATAGCTCAAGCAGTTAGTCGCTGGCTTCCCACCACAGAGGCCCGGGTTTGATCCCGGGTCTGGTCAAGTGGGATTTGTGGGGCAGGTTTTCTCCAAGTACTTCAGTTTCTCCTGCCAATCTTCATTCCACCAACTGCTCCACAATCACCCTCACCTATCATCTAGGGCTGGTACTATAGGCCAGAAGTGGCCACAGTACAAGGGACTTAGTCCCACCTCACTAGCAATAAAAAAAAATAGTGTTCTTATATGGGGAGGCTACTCATCGACACATTTGACGACTAAAGACCCTACAAACAAAGAAGACCAAGCTACTGTATACCCTTCCCTTCCCCCTTAGATGCAGGGACCACAGCACCATCCTTAATTTCCTTAAGTTCCAGGACCATATATACTCTGACACTGTTAGCAGGATCTACAGACACACAAGGTTCTGTCTGTTCCATGAACGCATCCACCATGCCAGGCGGGAACTGGACGCTGTTTCCAAAGAGCTGTTTAAATTACATCTGTGTTTGGCCCAGGACCTGTATGCTGATGATTTGAACCCGACAGACTGTATCACAACTGAGAAGGTTTATGCACCACTGATGACTTATGAGCCAGGCACTGCAGGAAGTTCCAACACTTGCATAAGGTCCAGCACCCACCCCGCACCCCTGACAAGGAGATTGTGCTCAATGTGAGTGAAGTGCCATTGGAAGAAGTGGCTTGCTCAGCCCTAAGCAAGGGCCTGAACTGTGGCTCCAGCGTCTGTCCCTGTCAAGGATATCCTGTGTGGGTTAAGGCAATAAGGGCCTTGCATGAAGAGACTGGAGAGATCTGACAGGAGACTGTCAGGATCCTAAAAGGCTCCGTAAACCCAAGGATAACCTAACTGGTGCCATGAGGAGAGCCCTCTGGGCCTTTAAAGCCAATGAGGCACTCAATGTCCTTCCAGCTGACAAAGGTAATGTGGCCATGGTACTGGGTACTTCAGACTACAACCAGAAGATTGCTGCTCTCCTGGAGGACAAGATCTACAACGAAGTTGAAGGATCCCACTGATCCTGTAGAGTGCAAGACTGTTCTTCTCCTGAAAAAGTCCCAGAGTGCTGAGGTCTGCCAACAACTATGACCACAAGGTTCCAGGCCCCCTAGACTCTATGGGTTGCCAAACATCCACAAGCCTGATGCTTTATTAAGGCCCACTGTGAGCACTATTGGCTCTCCTACCTATTGCTTGGGAAACACTTGGCTGGCCTACTTAGCTCCCACACTGGCAACTCTCTGTACCATGTGAGAAACTCAATGGAATTTGCCCACACCTTGGGTTCTCTCCAAGTCGATCCTCACAATAAAATGGTCAGTTCCAATGTGGTGTCGCTCTTCACCAAGGTGCCAATAAAGGATACTATGGATCTGCTAGGACAACATTTTGAAGAAGATATCTTGAGACTCTTCCACCATGTCCTGATCACCTCATACTTCAGCATCAATGGCCAGTTCTATGAACAAATCAATGGTGTGGCCAGGGGCTCACCACTGTCTTTGGTCACCACCAAATTCTATATGGAGGACTTCGAAGGAGAGGGTGCTTGAATTGGCTCCCACAAGCCCCTCTGCTGGTAGGGCTCAGTCTGCAGCCACCTACTCACATTTGTTCCTCACTTGCAGATTTTTCTAGCCTAAAAATGGAGGTGATACGTTCCTCTGAAACGTCAGTTCACAGAAGATCTACACGGTGCCACATCCCAGAAGACGAATCCTTTATAGTCACCGCTGTGGAAACCTCAAGTCTTACATATGTTCATTCACACAATCTCATTCAGTCTGCTGCAAATCGTGAGGCATCCCACTTCGCAGGATACTCTACTGGATATTCTCACTAATTTTAGGAAGTGGGAGTTCTTCAACATATCAGCATGCACATTAAAATTACAGTTTTTTCATAAGAAAAGAAAACAAAAAGAAAAACGAAGAAGAATGAACCAAAACGTTTGTTTCTTGTCAGTAAACAAAATGTTCTAACTTTCAGAGTGTCATGGACATGCCCCTAAATCATGCAGATTCTCAGAGCATCAAACTTATACATTTTCAATTTGGTCATTCACTGAAAACTGTACTAACTGATTAGTTAAACACTAAAATCTATATGCCAAATGAGACTTTAAATCCAGAGAGGATTTTACTTTCATTGCGCGGTGTCTTTTTGTGAGTCAAGATAGCTTAGTCAGTATAGAAGTATAGCGATGGGCTACAGGCTGGATGGTTTGGGTTCAATTCCTGGCAGAAGTAACATTTTTCTCCTCTCCCCAGCATCTAGACCAGCTCTGAGGTCCACCCAGCTTCCTACCCAATGGGTCCCTGGGGGTAAAGTGACCAGGATGTGAAGGTGACAACTCGCCTCCAACTAGTGCCGAGGTCAAGAATAATGGAGCTATACATCCACTCCCCCATATGTCTTTACAGCATAATGCTTAATTAATGAAGCACAGGGAAAACTTTCCCTTTATGTGCCTTATGAAAAATGGAAGACCTTTGTAGGACTACTGCTCATGAGATGTACTTTTAGGTTAATACTACATACACAGTCATTTAAAACACATATAAGAAGAGCTGTTCTTTACACTAAATTACAAATGAAAACAAGGAACTGTTGTTGATATGATATAGACCTAAAACAGAAGCAGAGAAAAGCGCATATATCTGCTTTCACCATGGAAAATTACTGCTACTGAAACAGCATCTGCTCCAAAAAAAAAAAAAAGAACTTGTAATACATTTAAAAACCTTAAGAAAGGTGTTAAAAACAGGATTAAAGCGGGTACCTGATGACACTACAAAACTGTTGAATGAACATTCAAACACAGACTAGTTTAGTTAAACTGGATCTGAAATTATGCAAATTAATCTAGAAGTTAAGGTTACAGATAAAGCGAACAAAATATCTGACAAATACTTCCATAAAGAAGAATCCCTTGTCAGAAAAAAACTTTAGATGATGATTTTTGGACTGAATGGGTTGGTCTACACTTGTATTAGGGAGGTGCTCCATTTCAACCTCAGCCAGGACACCAGCTCTTCTAAGTGAAATATTTTATGGTTCTCCTTGATCCCTCCAAGCAAATGTTTAAATTAAAGGGATGTTTATAATTTGTGAAAAACAAAAAGCCCACCACATGATAAAAAGTGCCTAATTTTATTACCTAGGGGTAATAAAAAGCTGAAAGTCTGGAAAAACATTCATCTTAGATATCTACTTCTAAAATAAAAATATTAAAAACTGTTGATGACATGGTTGACAACACTGTTTCATTTGACATGGAATGACTCAACAATGAACAGAAAAAACTTATTCATATGTCTCCACTGGAGGATTGTGGATGCATATAAAAATCTCATGAGCCCTTCAAGGGCAAATAATGGCTTGTACTTATACAGTACAAAAATTAAATCTGCCTGTGGACTCCATCACATAATTCCTCCATGAACACTGAGATGTAAATGCCCCTTGGTAAAATTAATGTTCCCCATATTGTGTTTTATTTAATAACACACTCAACTTAATTATACTTTCCTTGAAAACTGTGTAGGGGGCACACGGTAGCGTAGTGGTTGAGGAACTATGCTACAAGCTGGAAGGTCACAGGTTCAAGTCCCAATGAGGTCACTTGATTTTTTTCAGTTGAACTAATCCTTCCAGCTGCACTAGGCCCTGGGGTTTACTCAGCCTCTAACAGAAATGAGTACCAGGAATTAATTAAATAATTTTTCTGGGGAGTAAACCGTGCCCGGCGCATAAAGCTGACAACTTTACCGCCATCTTTGAGCCGATTGTCTAGACAATGTGGGACCCTCAACGCCTCACAACCCTATGGGCCTTCACAGCCTGGTTTGGGGATAGCTTTTTACTTTATGAAAACTGTGTCAGTTGAAATTTCATCTCAATGATCATCAGGGCAATCATGAGGTGGAGTCTGTAGCTGCATACATCCTGTATACCATGAATCACTAGTTCTAGTTATTACTCAAACTGTTCGGACTACTCAGAAAGAAACTGGGTGTATTTAATTCCAAATTCTTTCATTTTTTATGTATAAGACAATGCCTTAAGTTGCCAAAAAATGTGAGTTCTAGAAGTTGACAGAGAACCCAGTGTTTATTTCAACTTCATTTGACAGTATGTTATCCTGGTAACATCTACAGCACAAATGCCTACAGCAAAAAGCATATGGGCAGCACTGATTGCAAGGTCTTCCATACTGTGTATCACTAACATGTTTCACTTTGTCTTCCACCCTACCTATGTCCAGCTACCTGCCCAGACATTGGCAGGTCCACATGTCCATACTTCACAAAAACATTTTTTTTTCCCTTGGCACTACAGCCCCAGTGGGCCTAGGCCTACCTCCATGAACTCCGTTTTTTCTAGACCTTACACATATGGTAGGACTCCTTGGGCAAGTGATCAGCTCGTCGCAAGGCCTCTACCTGTAGACAAACACAGAAAAATGCACACAAACATCCATGCCCTGAGTGGGATTCGAACCCACGATCCCGGCTTCCAAGCGAGTGAAGACAGAGCATGCCTTAGACCGCTCGTCTACCGTGACCGGCTCACAAAAACATTAGTGTGTATTAATTCAGATGCTTCAACACATGTCTGCTGAAACAGATAACGTACAGGGTCATTCAACATCCTACAGTGAAACCTTAGGAGGTGGCTGAGATGTGAACAGATGTAAACAGCTGTCACCAACATTTCAGAATTACTGAGTTTAAAATTTGTAGTCAGATTTTTCTGTATGTTTGTATGTTGGAGCCTTCATGTAACAAGACTGAGTTCATATTGCATAGGTCACATTACTTCTCATGGCAAAGTAGTTATAACAGCGTAATGAGATGGCACGGTTTACTAATGAGGAGTATGACTAGTGAATATGAACCTCCAGCTACAAAGACAGAGGCCTCAAAACACAATATTGTGATTTTCTCAAAATTGGCCCTATGATTTTAAATAAATTTATGGGCCATTTGCCCAAATAAAACTACAAATGTAGTACATTTAGGAAAATTATGGTATTCCCTCTAACAGTTCAAACTCAAAATATCAATCTTCTGACAAATGGCTTGACAAATTTTTATTCAGTTTTAATTGTCTGTAAAGGCAATGGATCCAAACAATATTTTGCAGTCCAAAACATCCTAAACATAACAGGATTCGAATACTGGGCCCCTGATTACCAAAAAAAAAACTGTTTTCTTGAAAAATGGCTCCATGAATTTTTATTAAATTGCACCAGACTGTAGTATTGATATTCCCAAATAAAACTATTACTTTCAGAAGCCCAAATAATATTAACTTCAGAATAACAGAAGATTGTGACCCATCAAGTGTATATAAGAAAGAGTGTGAAATGCCTTTGTATCGCGATAGTCTCATGATTCAATGGGCATAGAAACACAGAAAAATATGGTCATGGGTCCTGTGGGGCTCAGAACCAACAATGACTGTGCTGGTGAGGCCCAGCAGCAATTTACTTGAAACCAAAACATCTGTACCCATTCTTACAACAAGGCATCAAAAATTTTATATTACAAAGTACATGGTCATGATAACCTCATCAATTTGATTCTCGTAGCTGTGACCTTCATCAGGTGCCAACACAAATGATCCATGACAGACAATCATTTTGACATCGCTGTGAAGTGTGCATGCCTGAAGAAAATTACTAAGCAGTTCTTAGAAGGAAATATGGAGAACTGTGTGAGAGCCCCCCACTATACAATCAGACATTTGTGTTAAATATGACTATATTCAAAGTGAAGAGATCTAATAACTTCAAAATATTAACTTTTCATTCATTACAATTAAAGTAAATAACCGAATATATACATGAATGAAGAAGGGTGATGAAATGAAAAATAATTTATTTACAGCTCCAAATTAACTCACAACAAATCTCCTAAACCTTGGCCACGGGACTTTGCATCACCATATAAAAACCAAGGGCTGGCAACATGCAAATGTATGTACGACTAAAGTCTGGAGATGAAAGTTTGAACTTTTACCTGAAGTGTACTGTCTAAAAGTAGAATTGCATACATTGTATACAGGTAAATTATGCAATAAGGTACTTTTCTTAACAATTTAATAATTATACCACTTTTACAGGGAATTCCCTACAAGGTACCCTTACCGTGCTATCCTCCAACATGTTCTCCAAAATGTGCACTATTTCTTGGAATGTGGGTCTCTCATCTAGGTCTAACTGCCAGCACTGTAGCATCAACTGGTACAGGTCATCATCAACGACCTGCAACTGAGGAAGACGTTGTCCTCGCATAACCCTACTGCCCACTTCATTAGTGGCAACATCAGCATATGGCGTCCCACCTAATAACAGATAATTCTAAATTGTATTGACAGATATACAAAGAATATAAATTTTAATATATTCTGCAAAAGCGAATTAATTTAAAACACAGTTTATAAAATCCCCAAATCTCTCATATGTCCATATTAGAGGTCAGGTGGGCAGACTGAGTGAGTGAACACTTTTGAAACTCACCAAGTGCACTGATCTCCCATAAAACACAACCAAAAGACCACACATCACTTTTGCTCACATGTGGCCTGCCTCGGAATATTTCTTGAGCTGTCCATCTGGTGTAGTCAGGATTCTGAAAGCATAACGAGTACCATATACACAAAGTTTTTTACCAGTAATTATATTGCCAAATAAAGCATGTAATCCAGAATAGTATGATGCTTCACCTCTCCATACTTATTATAACGAGCAATTCCACAGCCTGTAACTTTGGGAACAACACCATCTGCCATTAACACATTCCTAGCTGCTAGTTGTGTATGAGTAATTTTCTTGGAGGTCAAGTAGTCCATTGCCCGTGCAATTCCAACAGCTGTTTCCAAAACCTGACTTTCAGCAAGTGAGCATATTCGTTGCTGGGAACAACGTGCATCTGATATGGACAGTTGGACGGAGAATGGTGGAACAGAATGTTCCAAGAGACGACTTTCTATGAGAACATCTTTCAAGCTAGCAGGATGGTGTTCAACCACAACAAATAATGTGTCAGGATTTTCACATGTGCCCACAAGACTTGCTACATTCATATGAGCACTGAGACGTATCAAAATACCAAGGTCTTGCAACATTGATCTCTTCTCATGAGGTGGTAACTCCCTGTCTGCAACCGTGTGAATGGCAACTGGGATCGGAAACCCCCTCTGTTGAACCGTTCCTCTCATCACACTGCCATAGCGTCCAAGGCCCAGTATCTCTGATCTTACTTCCAAAAAGTTACGAGGTATGTTCCATACTTGACATTTCAAGTTTTCATAGTGATTCACTCTTTCATCCTCTTCTTCGGGTATGAAACCATTATGAGCGTAACCATTTGGTTCCTGCAAACAGGGATAATAATTATTACTAAAAACTGTAAATGTTATAGGACTAAAATGCAACTTTTTCTGGCACTGACTTACAATTTCAATCATAGGACCCTGCAGCGAAAGCTCCTGCTGATCAGAATTTTGCCTGCGTCTACCCAGATGTCTGCGAAGCAAAAAATAAACTACTACTGACAGTAGCAGTAAAAAGCCAAATACACCAATGGCTACAGACAGCCCAATAACCAACCCAGAACTGCCAGTATCTGTAACTACAAGAACAATGACTAAGCATTACTCATAGAACAGTAGACCCACACACAGTAACATGTTTTTCATATTAGTTGCCTTGTCAGAAAGCTGCCCTGTTTCAAATCATCCAAAGTGTTAAATTTTTACATTTCTAGATTTAAAAGCAAAACATACCACACAATGGTCTCATCTTGACAAATGATGATACAAGGTGGTTCAAATATGACCGGGACTGATTTGTGCGTAAACATGCTGCACTGCGCAGCAGCTATGTGACCTTGAGAGACTGAAGCCACAACCTCCACCCTACCTCCTGTTTGGGTTAGAACCTGTTCAGTCCTGTCTGGGAGTTGCTAGAGGGATGAGCGAACAGAAGGTACCGCGGAGCGTGGAACAACGCATTGTGATCAAATTCCTCGTTGGAGAAAACGTCCCGTTCGCTGAAATTCACCACAGACTCCAACAACAGCATGGGGAAGAGTCCCTCTCATGGACCCGTGTGTCTGAGTTGTGTACGTGCTTCAGAGAGGGCAGACAGCGCGTGAAGTATGAACCAAATGATCGTCGGCTGTGAACATCCGTCACTGAGACAAACACTGATCGTGCAGACGCGCTTATTCGTGAGAATAGGCACATCACTATCAAGGAACTTGGAGAAATGCTGTCCACCAGTGTTGGTAGTGTAGAAGACATTGTGAAATACCACCTGCACTATTGCAAGGTGAATTCACGGTGGGTACCATGCACTTCGACGGACGTGAACAAAATGGTGCGCATGCAAGCTGCCAGTCATCTCCTACAGCAGTTTCAAGACAATGGTGATGCATTTTTGAAGTCTATAGTGATCACTGATGAAACATGGGTGCACTACTTCATTCCCAAGTCCCAGCAGTCATCACGCGAGTGGCGGCATACCAGTTCTCCCAAACCCAAGAGAGGGCGGAGGAGCCATTCAGCAGGAAAAGTGATGGCAACGTTCTTCTAGGACTGGCAGGGGTCATCCATGTAGACTTTCTGACAGATGCCAGAACAGTCAATGCAACTTATTACTCAGACCTCCTGGCAACAGACGTGAAGGAAAAGCTGCAATCCAAGCGGAAGACAGGTGGAAAGCGGGTAGCCTTCCTTCAAGACAATGCACATCCCCTTATGGCCAAAACAACAATGGAAACCATCTGGAAATTGAAATGGAACCTTCTGACGCATCCACTGTACATTCCCGATTTGGCCCCAAGTGATTTCTACCTGTTCGGAAGGCTCAAATCAGACTTGCAAGGCATGCGGTTTGTGGAAGAAGCCGTCATCCAGACTGTTCGGGAGTGGATATGCCGCCAACCACAAGCCTTTTTTGAAAAGGGCATCAGGATGCTTCCAGAACATTGGAAAAAATGTGTTGACTCCAGATGGGAGTATGTTGAAGACTGACATGTGCAAGTAAGTGTTTGGCAATTATGGTTTTTAAAAAAAATTAGTCTCGGTCATATTTGAACCACCTTGTACATCATTTTCACTTTCCATGATTCATTTTGTTTTTATATTTACTTTTTATGAAGTGGCAGATATTTGAAAATGGCAAAACAGAGTATACTGTTCCTAACTCATGTGCATTATAACAGAAGTAATACACAATGTAGTCATTCAAACAGCTTCTTTCTATAAATTTCTAAAATGTATGTTTTTAATTTTTTTATTGAAGTTGTCACATTTCACAACTCACTCTTTCTTATGATGAAAACAGTGAACATAATCTCCATACAAAGCAAATATTTACATCACAACTCAAATAAATTGAAACATTTTTTTGCAGCTTATTTACATATTTAGTTTAGTAACTGCATCTTACCTGGTATACTATCTCCTACATTAAGGACAACATGGCCCAACTGAGCATACGTCACTTTAGTAACATTATTCAAACTGCTTACTACTCCCACTGTAACATGAATGTTGCTATCCAATGGCAGTGGTGGATTGTAGTAATTTCCATACATGCGGCCATCACCAACGACAAATTCATCCATAAGATCCTAGAATCATTTCAGGTAGTTTTAGGGCCCCTTTTATTCAAGCTCTAACTTCATGTGATGCAGATATGAAGGTAATTTATCTTACCTGAGGATTTAACTCAGCAGCTATATAGTAAGGTATACCTTCAGATTCAGCCTCTTGAAATGATTTCAGCATGTCTTTTCTGAATTCACCTTGTCCAACACCATAAACCACCACTATACGATATGCTGTAATTGGACCATTTTCATTTACCATTGGTGACAACTGAATCAAGATCTGACCTTTGTCTCTTCTAACAATTCTAGGTACTTCTGGCTCTTCAGGTTCTGGAAAATTAATGGGAAGGAACTCACACAGATTCAAATCCAATGTTAATAATAATTTCATAACATGTTAAATAAAATTGACTTATAACATAAAAATGAAAAACACAGCTATATGAATGAATAATAACATCTCAGTTTCAAAAAAAGGCTAATAAAATTATACATTTAAGATCTCAGAACCTAATAACTGAGCTAAAATGTACTATCCAGTACTATATTCTTTCAGCACTTGAAAATTCTGGAATCACAGTCTCAAATGCTAATGCGACTACTCTGTTATTGCTTTTCCAACATCTAAACAAATAATTTCACATGATATCTGCAGGCATCTTATGATCACAGACACTATCAAATTTCACATGGCAGGGTATGTTATTTGCCATTCACATAAGAACACCAATATGTTACTATCACAAATAATTAACTAGAACAATAAATAACTGAAAATGAAATATTTCATTCCAGACAGCATACTGTGACACTGAAGTATTTAATGCACTTAAAAAGTCACAGTGTTCTGAATATGAACTAAAGACAAAAATGTTTTAAAAGTGAGTTCCTTGCATGTGCATTCCATATTAAAGTAAACTACATCAACACTGTCAAATGCAATTAACTGAGAAAATACATTTTCCGTTTATTTGTTCATCTTTGTTGTTATATCATCTTAAATGTTTCAACTACTTAAAGAGTCATCTACAGGAGCATCATTTCTAAAATACTACAGAATCCCTATTCTTGTCATCAGTTACTTTTAGAAAACCCACCACTTCCAGTCTCAGTGTCAATAATTTACTGAATCACTCTAAGGAATATAAATACACATATATAATTTGAAGACTTCATTGTTAGAGGAGGCCTATGGAATAAAGCCTTTTGGATTATCAACTGTTTCACTGCAGAGTTGGTGTCCACCATTTCAGAGACTACGTCTGTTTCCATCATCAGAGGCTCGTGACGAGTACTGATTTCACATGTTTTATATATATATATATATATACTGTGACTTGTTGCACTATGGATGACGCCCCTCCCTCCCCGCCAGCCGTGACATGCCGAGTGGAGCCGAAGTGAGCCGAGTCCCAGCGCGCTGGTCACTATGCAAAGCGAGTAAACACCAGTTGCTAAGCAAAGCGGGTAAACAGTGGTTGCTAGAGACGACGGTAATAACAGCGGTACCCATTACGTAACAGGCAAATACTGCAACTATATAAGAGAACTACACTGCCGCCGAAGTCAGTGACGAGTGACAAGTTAGTCAGCAGTGAGCAGTTACGAGTCAGCCAGAGAGTCAGTCAGTTGTAGTCTAGCCTTTGCAGGCCAAATAATTGTAATACTGCAGATAGCAGTAGCTGTGAATCTGTAAAGGGTGTGATTGTAAGAGCAAGTGTGAAATAAAATTCGCTATATCCAATAAGGCGTGAAGTTATTTGTCACGTTATACACCCAACACGTGACAAAATATATATATATATACATATAAGTAAAGCTATCCCTGTAACAGGCCGTGAAGGCCCATAGGGTTGTGAGACATTGAGGGTCCCACATTATCTAGACCAGGGGTCTNATGTTGTCCCAAAAATGGAGATAAATTTACAAGCAAATTTCTTTTAATTTGGAAATTGCTTAGAGTTCAGAAATTTATAAAATTTGATCAAACTTCCTTCCTTGTATTTGTCTTTAATATGATAATTTTCTTTAAGTTCAATAATTTCCATTTGAAATTTGACTTGGGATATCTGCAGCATCACAGTCAAATGGATTTTGAAACAATCTAATTTCCTGAGCACTGGAATCCAAATGAGCAAATCGCTTCTGAACTTGTTCTTCCAAATCTAAAATGACTAAATTTGCAAACGAGGAAGGAAATTCTGCATCACCCTTTTTATGAAACTCTGCACAGTATAGCATATGAACAAAGTTACAATTTTTACACTTGGCTTCCCAGAAGTATCAACTTTCTCTGAGTGCCTTGATAAGTTCAAATAAATCACAGACTAAGTTATTTTCACCCTGCAACTTTAAATTCAAATGGTTCATATGGTTCACCAGATCAGCAAAAAATGCTGATTTCCAAAGCCACTCGGTATCTGATAAAAGTGGTTCCTGATGGTTTTTCTCAGTAAGAAATATATCAGTTTCACTCCTGAGCTGAAAGAAGTGCGAAAGAACCTTTCCACAGCTAAGCCATCGAACTGCAGTATAATAAGCTCGGAATCACATTTACCTGTACTCACTGGAAAATTAGTTAAATTGGTGCATTTCTGCACAATTCTTTTGCAGGCCGGATGTGGCCTGTGGGCCGTACTTTGGAGACCCATGATCTAGACAATTGGCTCAAGATAGTGGTAAGGTTGTCAGCCTTACGTGCCAAATGCGCCTAACTCCCCAGGAAAATTATTTAACTAATTCCTGGCACTCATTTCTGTTAGAGGCTGAGTCGACCCCAGGACCATAGTGCGGCTGGAAGGATTAGGTCAACTGAAAAAAATTCAATGACCTCATCGAGACTTGAACCCCTGACCTTCCATCTTGTAGCATAGTGCCTCAACCAACTACACTACTTCGTGCTCCATTATAACTATATATATATTGTCACGTGTTGGGAATGTCATGCAACAAATAAATTCACGTGGGTCTCGGATTCAGCAAATCTTTATCACACACTCAATCTTACACACCTTACAATTGTTATCACTTCAACTGTATTCTGCGGCAGCTATCTTTCAACGGTGTTGTGTGGCGACTAGGTTCCAACTGTGTTCATGCTCTCTGTAGCTCTCTGCTTATGTAGGTGTTCTGTGGACTCGGTAGAGGACACCTCTTGCCAAGGTTCGGTCTCACGTGTTCAGCGATCCGTTGCTTCGGGAACGCTGTTTATACGCTGGTAACGAGTTTCATCTCATCCGTTGTTACTCAACGGCCTTCTGTTGTTCATCTCCGGGGAAATACGTTCGTTGTTTCGGCATTGTCTACACAACGGCTCACTGTTATTGCATTATCATGGGAGTATCTACTCCAAACATGTTACAATATATATACACAAAACTGCTGTCCATCACAGCCCACGCCATTTGGCAAACAGTGATCAGAGTCAGATGGGCAGTGATATCCTGTCCAGGGCAGACTACATGGGGAGCAATCACGTCACCTGCATATATACTGTGAGTCACTGTAATTGTGAATGTTTTTCTAAGACTTCTCACATGTTTTACAAGGGCTATTTGGAAACTAACCTCCGTTTATTTTAGGCAATTAATGTAAAAGCAGGGGACACCTCACGCATGCAAGGTAGCATCACATGACTAAATGCCTTGTAAACCATCATTCAACTGGTCAACTAGGGTTTGTTCTCATCTGTACAGAGTGAGTTATTATATGTCCTGCGTTTGATAATCCCGACAGCTGCAAAATTCGCACTATTATCCGCTTTCTTCACACTAAAAAGTGTTGGAGAAATCCATCAAGAATTATGTGCAGCTTACAGCCAAAATGTAATGAATGAAGGAACTATAAGACAATGGTGTAGAATTTTCAAAGATGGGTGAACAAATGTGCATGATTAAAAGCAAAGTGTTTGGCCAACTGCACTGAGTGGATAACCTTATTTAAAGTGTTGACCAAAATTTTTGAAAGACAGTACTTCCTAATTTCAGAACTTTCATGTGAATTTCCACAAATTTCACCCACTGTTCTCTACAATATTATCATAGTTAGGCTACACCATCAGAAGTTTTGCATAAGATGGATTCCGAAAATGATCATGGGTGCACACAAAACCCAGAGAATAGCTTAGACTTGGACTTTTTTGCAGAAATGCCACAAAGATGGCGATTAATTTTTCTGTCACATCATCAGAGTGACAGGTGATGAATCCTGAGTTTGATTTGTGAATGCTGAAACCAAAGAGCAGTCAAAGCAGTAGATGTACACACATTCAACAAACAAGCCAATGAAGTTTAAACAAACGCCTGCCTGCCTGCCAGCAAGCTGACAAAAACTGTTTTCTGGGATGGGACAGGACCAGAAAGGAGTGCTGATGATAGAATTCATGCAACAAGGGACCACACTGATGTCAGAAGTGTACTGCAAAACAAAAACAAAATGGGAAGGGCCATACAGTAAAGAAGGCATGGAATGCTGACATCCTGTGTAGTGCTCCTCCATGACAATGTGCGTCCACATACAGCTACTTGAACTTGAGCACTGCTGGTGCATATAAACTGGGAGTGGGTTGACCACCCTCCTTACAGTCCCAATCTTGTTCCAAGCGACTATCACTCATCTACCCACCTGAAGAACTGGTTGGGATCACAAAGCTTCAACAATAATGAGTAGATGGAAGGTATCAAAACATGGCTGAGCCCACAGGTGGCAGACATCTTTCACACAGGTATACAAAAACTTACTCCTAATACAACAAGTGCTTCAATTCCATCACTGACTACGGTGAGAAGTAGCTTAAGTATGTACATATTTTTTGTATATTACAGCCAGTGGAGGTCAGACATGGCTAGGAGTCAATGGCCAGGAGCTGCAGGCATGAGGAGCTATGAGACGGTCACCAGCCGGTAAGGATGTGAGATATGTAAGCAGACATAACTTTGCCATGCTTACCTCCTATCTGTGTCCAGATTGTATGTGATATCTTCACTCCTGTTACACCATGAAAATAGGTTGCAACAGATATATTGTACTGGGTCCCTGGATGAAGGTCTGGTAATCCAGCTTTTAAAGTATAATTTGGAAACATCCATTGTCGGGGTTCCAGCTGGCTGGTTGTATAATATGTATCTATACAGTTTGCCACAACAATGTAGTCAGTGAATACATCATTAAGAGCAACCGGAGGGGTCCAAACTGCTTGCACACTGGTGTCTGTGGCATTAAAAAGTTCCAGCGAAGCAGGTGGGCCAGGAACTGCACAAATAAAACATAAATTAAAATTTCAGCAAACGTCAAAGTACACAAACCCTCACTAATCTGGAGTAACTGTGGGGGAGGTCATCCAGATTAGTGACTCAAAAGGTAGCCCTGAAAGCCCCCCCTCCAAAAAAATTAACACACATAAATGGAAAATTTAGTGATAGAAGTAGTGCTGATGAAAATACATAAAAAATAACATTGCAGAGAATTTATTTAAAAACTATACAAAGACGAAGATATTTATTCATCTGTAGAAGACCTGGCTGCTGTACTTGCTTTTGGACATAATAATGCAAGTTTGATGAAACTGTCACGTTTTGTCTGAATGGCCAAGTGACTCATCTGCCTTCTTAATTGACATGTGTCTTTTAAAGTATACACTCAATTGTGAACAGCATTTTTCATTTTTTGATCCGTATTATCCCACATATGGATCAATTGTAACCAGATTAATGAGGGTTTACTGTATATCACAAAATTCTTACAAATAATGTTCAAGGGGTAAAGAGTTTTTAGAAAATCTGAATGGTAAAATAAGACATAATTACTAACATCTAGTTATCCCTGGAAATATTAATGTATAACATCAAAAAATCTGTACAATATAAGGTTTTATAAAACAATTTTACTGTAACTGACATGGAACATGAAAATTAGAAACTACCGAAAAATATAACTTTCATACCTTTAGGAACAGACATTACGCATCCCAGTACGCATTGTAAATTTTTGAACCAACCACACAAAATCATGTTATTACACTTAGACACAAGTCTTTCAAAGACACCTTTTTTTAAGGCAGTGTAATGACAGAAATTTTCTTCACTAGATATGATTAACAGGTGTGTTCTGAGGCAATCTTCTTCATACTACCAACTTCTACTAGGTAGTATCAGTGACAATGTAGAAGGAAAATAGAACATGAAAAGAATTATGTACACTTCCTTATAACAGTTTTCAAAAACCATGGATAGTCTCTGTACACCGCCAACCACCCCCCCCAGGGGGAAAAAAATTGATATAAATACTACTACTAAAAAGACCCCACTGTTTTGGTCTAATAATTGATCACATCAACATTTTTACACCTCAAATATATTTCAAGTCTCATTATTGTGGAAGAGGACCTTCCAATTTCTGCTGTACAAACAGCAACTGTAATCTAAAGGTAAGGTGAAGTAAATGCAGTAATTTCATTAACATTCAGTAGGAAAATTTATGTCCCAGATTAAGAAATTTGATTAGATCATTAACTGTCAGATCATTAAAAAAATTGTACACAACACAATTTTCTTAAATTTTATTTAATTTCAATCCTAATAAATAATATTAAATAGAGAAATTTTGATACAAGAATAAAAATATTTGCACTCCTCCTTGTCTGTCATGAGCACTTTACTTCTGTGCATAATCTCCTAAGTTTCTAAAACGAGGATTCCTCGTGTCTAATATTTAAGAGTGGCTCATACACTCCTCTGAAATTCAACTCCACTACCTACACATTTTCACTATTTTCTAACTTATGGTATCCTTGCTGCAGCTACTTCTTTCCCACAGTCATCATTAACTCACACATTTTCAGTTTTCAACCCTGTCTTATGCCCATCTGTGCAATCAACTCCCAACCATAACCCCACACTCACTCATATCTTTTTCTATTTCACCCTACCCTTCTCACACAACAAATTTACTGATGCTGCAGAGTAGTACTTCAACTTTTTCTTCACATTTGGGAATTCACCATTTCATATCTCAGTTGTGAGTGACATATCTGCATCGCACTTACCATGCCTCTCCTTAGTCTCATCAGTCAGTGCTGTGGAGTATATGAAAATAAAGTCACTGCCATCTTCCCTGATATCCTTACAAACTCACTATTCACATTCATTTCAGTCTCAGTCTCACAGTATTGTTGTATAAATCAATAAACAAACTCAAATATTGTGCTCTTTTATTTTACTCCGCAACAGCCATTCTTAAAAGAAACTTTCCCATCTAAGTTCATGCCGCTTTTCCATTTTTCCCACATCACCAACACTGCTGAAAGAACATCATAAATCTTCCCATGTGACATCAAGGGAAAGAAGTCAACAAGAAGATATTTTAATAATGAATAAATAAAGAAATATGAATAATATACCAATCCATCCAGTGTCAATCACAGCATTAGACAAGCTTCCTTCACAGGATTCTGAGTCACTGGATTTACAGGACTTGGAGCATTCTGCAGGTCTGTATTTGCCATATGAACTGTCACAATAACAAGCTTGTGCATTCTTGAAGAATGCATACCTGTAATCAAGAATTTGTAAAGCCTATCACATAAGAGTTGTAAGGAACTGCAATAGTGTGGATGGCATGCAATGCAAGAGACAGTGCCAAAATGGCACAAAAAACATAACAAGCAAATGAGAAGAGAAGAAAAAGGAACAAAATCTCTGTTCATGGAAAATCCAGGAGTGTTCACATTATATTTATTTTGTTACAGTCATTTCACATCAAGTTACCACAGTTCAGGAACAAAAAAAAAAAAAAACGTCACAATATCTCCAATTCTAATAATATTTTGCAGGATTGTTGGATATCCTTAGGAACTCAAACACACAAAAGTTGTACATTTCTGTACCAACGAAGTTCAGAAATACATCATTTTGAAATTTCAAGTTCTTAAATTTTCCTTTGTCCCAATTCACCTCAAATCTTACATAATTTTAATTTATAATTACATTTACTAATTTTCACAATACATTTTGTGTGCTATAATAGTTTTTTTTGTGGATAAAAATGTAATCCAATTATCTGAATTTTTGCTTATCTGAACTACTTTTGTCACTAATTAATTTGGATAATCAGCATTCTACTGTATTTTTGGCCTTCGTTTCTTAAAAACCATATGAACAGACTTATGCAAGTTTTTTCTACAACACCTAGTGACCATCTCAATACATCTTTGGAAAGTATCAAGCTGGGGCGTGAAACTGATAAGATATGATTTTCTACCTGCTGGTGGTGTGATCAAGCAAGAGTCATTTGTGAACTGTACCAATAAGTTGCACGGCATCATGATTCATTCAGCTGTACAGTTCATACCTGATGCCAGTAGCGTTAAGCTGTATTTCCCCATCTACCAAAATCTGTAGTGGTTTAGTCAAGTGGTTAATTGTGATATTTGCCAAGTTTAAAGTGGCTGCGAGTGCTACAACTATCAAAGAACGTAATGTTTTCAAAACAACACTGTAATACCTTTAATGTCAATCAGCACAAGTTTAAAAAATCTAAGACTTGTGTTAGACCAAATAATAGAAAAAGGTCCCTAGTATTCAGAAAGGACAAAGAAGCTGTGATAAATCTACGAAAAATTCTGCAAATTTGACTGAAAATGTTATAAATTAAACAACTGTCTCTTCTAGCTTGGAATATGACAGAAAAAATAAGGAAGACTTGAAGAGTTTTAAAACTGAGTGAACCCCACAGTTTCTCTTAGGCCATTAAAAAACCTCACCAATTTTTGACAAAAAAAATGTCAAAATATCAAGTACTCGTATCCGAAGGAAAAATCCAAGAAAATCATTTTTTCGATTTAACAGGCTTCAATAGTAGCAATGGTTCAGGGGAAGATAAAATGACAGCACAGATGACAGAAAATTTTCAGATCACAAATAGTAAAAATGTTCAAATTTTGATGGGTCTTCCATAGTCCTGGTCAATTAAGAAAATCCCATACGCATTCAAGGCCTCAAATTACATCGGGCTGCCATGAAATTAGTGGCTAAGCAAGGAATTTGCCAAGCCAAAGTTTAAAACCAGAGAAAGTGAAGCAATTTTATTTATCTGATGAAACCAGCAGGATCATGCCAGGGATATAAGATCACATTTCTGTTAAGTCAGAAAGCAAGATGGTCACTGAATCACTCCTGGAGCTGGGATCTTCTTGAGAAACCACCAATTGTGCAGCTATTCAAGAACTTCCCAGCATTTTATGAAACCCAAAGGTTTGTTACCGTGTTCACAAGGGCCCTCCACTGGTTCCTATCCTGAGCCACATCAATCCAATTCATACCACCCCACCCCATCTCTCTAAGATGCATTTTACTATTGACCACCCACCTCTGCCTTAGTCTGATGTGTCCCATTTAATATCAGTCCCACATGGTTTTCTTGGACCTTCCAAATGGCATATTCTAAAGCAAAGTTGAAAAGGAGTGGCAATAAAGCATCTCCTTGTTTTACACCATTCTGGATACAAAAATTATCAGAAAAATGTTTACCTATAAGGACTTTGCTATACATTTCTTTTACACACATTTTAATCAGAATAGATAATTTCATGGGTACCCCAAACTCTATCAGAATATTGTACAATCCTTCCCTCCTAACTGAATCATAGGCTTTCTTGAAGTTTACGAATAGCTGATGTAATGTCTCACTGTACTCCCATTTTTTCTCCAATATCTGACGAATGCAAAAGATCTAATCAGTAGTTGATCTGTTATGTTGAAACCCACACTGATGATTCCAAATAGTTTCATCTACGAATGTACATCTATGTATGGACTTAACTGTGAGAGAAGAATATTGGACAAAATATTGTATGAAGTTGATAGCAGTGATATCCCACAATAATTACTACAGTCAGTTTTATCACCCTTCTTGTGAACTGGTGCAATAATAGACTCCTTCCACTGTTCAGGCAATTTTTCCTTATGGCAAATACAGTGCGTACAATCAAGTGCGCGCCGCGGCTGCAATTTGCCGTGAGTCATACCACCGCAGAACGGATGCAGTCGCGGCGCGCACTTGATTGTACGCACTGTAGAAGTAATTAGCTTATGAATCTTAGAACATAATATTTCACCTGCTGCTTGAATAAGTTCTACCAGAATATGATCACTACCTGGTGATTTATACCTTTTCAATTTTGCAATAACAATTTCAACCTCAAAAAGTCTAGGAACAGATACTAATGGCACAGCTCTATATACTTCTATCTGCCTAACATCACTGACCATATGTGCAACCAATAATTGAGAGAAGTAGTTCTTCCATCTATTCAAATGTTGTGGGAATCTCCAAGCAGATCACCAGAAGATGGTCCATCTTCAAAAATGACTGTTACTGTGTAACTTAAAAGACGCTGATATAAGTGTTAAGAAACAGAGTCCTGGGAAATTCAATGTTCATAAAGTTTTCAGAGATACACCTAAAAAACTCTGTATTGGCTGAAGTAGGCTATGAGTATATTCATGCACTTTGTGTGTCTCCCATTAATAAGAATATAAAATTTCCTATTTTAGGTACAAAATTTGACTGTCTTTCAAAATTATTTGTAATGTATAAAGTGTAAGTTTCTGCCAGGGAGACTGTGAGATGTATCTGGTATCTCAGAACCTAATCAGAAATACTGAGCAGAGATTAGAAGACAACACAGACAATATAATCTATAGACAGCAGACATCTACTGACATATAAACTCAAGAAACAACTGTGCCATCTTGTAGTAACATTCTTCAGTTCTCTGCTTAAAAGGTACGCATCCTGCATGTTCACTCTTCTACAGCAAAACAGCAACCATGTTTCAATAAAGAACTGAAGATGAAAACTAAAACTGGAGAAATTCCTGTTACATGAAATTTTTCTGAAAACTATTATTCAATCATACAAGATTAAGTTCTCATTGGAACAATTCTCAGGCAAATGTTCATCCATTCGTGACTTAATATTCACAAAATGAACTGACAGAGAACATCAGTTTCGTTACATTCAAAATATAATGCATCGTGTATTTATTTCAAAGAAAATTATGCAACTTTCTTTCTAGTAAACTGAAAGATTTCTCTAATATTTACTATTTTGTTGATGGTGCTGCTGCACAGCATAAAAGCAAGGAAAAGTTCATTGACCTCTGCTATCATAAAGATGATTTTGATACGGATGCCGAGCGGTACTTTTTTCCATCACACAGCATAGGTGCATATTATTGGATTGTGGGAACAATTAAAGGGGGGGGTAGCAAAACCTACACCATGTTAAGTGGAGCCCTTATGGTGCATCTTCAGGTTGCACCTGGAGGAGATGGGCTCCAGATAAAGGAGGGCAGATGCAAAAATACTGAATCGGCAGTTGCAGGCACCTGACAAGGGGCAGTCCTCCAGCTGGAGGGTTGGTTGTGGGGCTAACTCATCACCATAAAAAAGCCTGTTGCGAAATATGAGACATAAATACCACAGAATATTACTGGTTAAGATTGATTTGAGCCTGAAAGTATCTTCAATCATCTCTGAAAACGTACATCATGAGAAACAATCATTAACATCCATCAGAGTCATTTGGGTACATTTGTTCATTTTCTAATAAATAAATTTCTTTATTACCATTTTACAGTAATAAGTTTTAAGACGTAAAATATTCCACTGACTGTATTCATATGGTATACAATTACTTACTTACTCAGGGAACTAAGCCCTTCTGGAGGAGCCGCCAATTCTGCAGCTACTCAAGAATTTCCCAGCATTTTATGGAACCCGAAGGTTCATTACCATGTTCACAAGAGCCCTCCACTGGTCCCTATATAAGATTCATTTTAATACTGTCCACCCACCTATGCCTTGGTCTTCCCAGTGGTCTCCTTCCTTCTGGCTTTCCCACCAATATCCTATACACATTCCTTGCCTCCCCCATTTGTGCTACATGCCCTGCCCACCTCATCCTCCTTGACTTGATCATTCTAATTATACTTGGAGAAGAGTACAAGTTATGAAGCTTCATTATGCAGTTTTCTCCAACCTCCTGTCACTTCATCCCTCTTTGGTCCAAATATTCTTCTCAACACCGTTCTCTCAAACACCCTCAGTCTATGTTCCTCCCTAAATGTCAGAGACCAAGTTTCGCACCCATACAGAACCACAGGCAAAATTATAGTTTTGTATATTCTAATTTTTATGTTCTTGGACAGCAGATGAGAAGACAAAAGGTTCTGGACTGAATGGTAGCAAGCATTACCCGAGTTCAATTTCCCTTTAATTTCCTCCTGAATCAGGTTTCGATCTGTTATCGTTGTTCCCAAATATCAGAACTGTGCCAAATTTTCAAAACATCTGTTTCCTATCTTTATATCATGATTTTGCCCTGCATTTTGGAGACGAGACAACAACATATACTTAGTTTTCTCAGTGTTTACTTCTAGACCAACCTCTACTTGTGTCAATTAAATGGTACAATATTTATGACACAGTACATTGCTTTTCCATGTAATTGGAGACTGAATTAGAATGCTTGCTACCATTTAGTCCAGAACTTTTGTCTTCTTTTCTGCTGTCTAAAAATGTAAATGTTACAATATACAAAATTATAATTTTGCCTGTGGTTCTGTATTGGTGCAAAACTTGGCATCTGACATTAAGGGAGGGACACAGACTGAGGGTGTTTGAGAACAGGATGCTGGGGAGAATATTTAGATCAAAAAGAGATGAGGTGAGGGGAATTTGGAGTAAACTGCACAATGAAGAGTTTCATACCTTGTACTCTTCACCAAGTATAATGACAATGACCTATTCAAGGATGATGAGAATGGCAGGGCATGTAGCATGAATGGGGGAGATGAGGAATGCATATAGGATATTGGTGAGAAAGCCAGAAGGAAAGAGCCACTAGGAAGACCAAGACATGGGGGGGGGGGCTAATATTAAAATGGAACTTATACAGGATGGGATGTTACAGACTGGATTGATCAGGCTCAGGGTAGGAACCAGTGGAGGAACTGTGTGAAAATGGTAATGAACCTTTGGGCTCCATAAAACATTGGGAGTACCTGCACAACTGAAGGACTCAGCTCCATAGAGTTAGTTGATTAGTAAATTACTTTTAATTAAAAAAGTACAGAGGGTTTTGCAAATAAAACAAAAAGGTATAGAATTAAGGCACTACTCCATTCTGTCCTGACTTTACTGCATCTCTTTGAAAATGATGTTAATAATACTAGTAACAGACATGATATTCAGGGAACAAGTCCTCCAGGAGGGACTTTAAACCGTGGGTCCCGTGTCATAGCTTTACGGCACTAAAAGAACCTCATGTCCCAAAGGGACCTCTGAGCAAAATTCAGGACATTTCCCACCCAACAGTAGTCTCTAACACATCTGGTAGATAGGGGAAGCATCAAGATACCACTGAGCCTGTAGAGGCCGAACTCGCTGGCTGAGTCGGGACTGATGGCACGCACCAGTACCGGTAGGGAATAGAGACTGGTAGAATATCATAGGGGGATGCACAATGGACCAATATCTGGTCTAAGTGCATGGGGAAACCCACCCTCTCCAATAATAACAACAACAACAACAGACATGATCATTTAAATAACACAGTAGTAGTTACACTATTATGCTGGGGGGGATTCACCTGAAAAACTGCTGCTTACAAACTGCTGTGCATGACTCTGCAGACAGAGACCCAGCCAAGTTCGTGACATTATAGGGAAGGTCACGGTAATCGTGATCCCCTTCAAAACAGCCCACTAGATTCACAGGAGTACCAGCATCTCCATGGTTTATCTGAATTTCTCCAATGCAGTAGATCAGGGCACTCCAACTCAGAAATAAAATGCTCACGACATACAATTAATATTCCATACCTTATCTGAAACAATAAATATAAAACAAAGCTTATTTCAAATTAAAAGCCTGAAGAGGATGACAACCCTCTCAAACTAAACATTCTGTTTCTTAAGAAAACATCTGAAATGGCTTCATTTTATCTACTTACTCGTACAGCTTTGTAATAAATTCCATTTTATGAACCAAATTCCCCCCCCCAAATACAAAACACAGCATTAAAACCATTAAATGTGTACTATGTGACACTGCAATTATTTCTATTGTTCATACTTTAATATAAACAGAAATCATAAATTCTGATTCTTTTTATGAATTTCAAAAACTACAGCTGAACACTGCATACTTCGCAGGAACAACTGCAACTATTTTGTACCCCGGATATTTCTGTCACACAGAACTTCACTAATTATGGAAGTTCCATCTACATAACTACAAACAAACCTCAAAAGCAAAAACACTCACACCATACAAGATAACCAATATCAGCTCCAGATCCAGACAAACCACCAAACATATATATAGCAGAGCACAAATCTCTACGGTCTGAAACTTCTCCAGAATCTTCATATAAAGGTTGCATACCAATACTACCAAGATCAAAAATGCAATGAAACAGGACATGACACATGCCTGAAGAACACTATATGGAACATTCACATCCATATACAATTTAACAGTTAAAAGGTTCAATGGTTATCCAAGGTTTCACTGACTCAGTCATGAATTCCAAGGGCAGCAGTCATCCAAATGAAGATGAAAAGCCTCTGGGCTTTGGGTATATTTCATATGCAAAGGGTGTTTCAGAGAAGTTCAAACGTACAGGGAACAGACATAACATTAGGTCGAGCTGCAAAACTGAACACTCTCTTAGGAGTTCACCAATGCAAACCAGGCTGGAAAGGCATCCACAACAGATGGCAGTGTCTCTATAGCATTCCCTGTGAATGTGGCAGAAGCTACATTGGCGACAGAGGCAGACTTCTAATCGTTTGGATATGTGAACATATGCCCAATCAAAAAGAGGTTTTTCCAGAATAAACAAAATTAGCCAAAAATGCCTACAGAGAGGGTCATAGAGTAGGCTGGGTTGACACTAGGATTCTGGAAACTAAAAGTTTCACAGCAGGTATAGGAAATATAAGGAACTGGACCACATGGAAAGGCAGTATTATGGAAGTTTCTAACTACTGGCCCATTTCCTTGTTGACAGGGTTTTCCAAAATATTCGAGATACTCATATATAACAGAGTAATACAGCATTTAACAAACAATAATGTTATTGTAGATAATCACTTCGGTTTCAGAAAGGGTGCGTTGACACAAAAAGCTATTTTTACAGTTACTGATTATATTTATAAAACATGGAACAATAAGAATGGTTGTGGGGATTTTTTGTGACCTCACTAAGGCATTTGACTGTGTCAATCATGAACTGCTTGTCCAAAAATTGAAACACGATGGAATAAAAGAGATCCTACTAAAAGTGCTTGAAACATACCTATATAGCAGGAAGCAAAGAATCATTCTACAGACTGAAGACTCAACTACATATGTTTCTAAATGGAAAACTAGCAAACATGGAGTTCCGCAAGGATCTGTACTGAGACCTTTGTTGTTCAATGTATATATTAATGATCTGCCTAGAATTCTAAATGGGTTGGTACGTATGGTTCTATATGCTGACAACGCCATTTTTATTGACTCTTCACAGGATATTAGTAGCCTTAATAACAAATTTAATTTAGCTGTGAGACATTTATATAGATGGTTCCAAGCTAACCAATTTATACTAAATTTAAAAAAAAAAACCCACGTAATGAAATTTATGACCCCTAGGGCCACGGACTATCCATTACATATAAAATATAATGACCAAACACTTAAATTTTCTGTAAATGTTAAGTTTTTAGGTGTGTGCCTGGACAATCATTTGGGCTGGGAAAAATACTCTGATGATGTGATAAATAAGTTGAGTGTTACAACCTTTGTGCCTAGAAAACTACAGCCTATAGTAAGTAGGCAAGTGTTGAAATGGCTTATTGTGCTTACTGTCAAGCTGAACTTAAATATGGTGTTATTTTCTGTGGCTCTTCTTCGTCATCAATGAAAAGAGTTTTTGTGGCTCAGAAAAGAGCAATTAGAGCAATGTTAATGATGAGGCCTAGAAGTTCTTGTAGAGAGGTTTTCAGAGAATTAGGGATACTTACAGTTCCCTGTTTATTTATATATGCCATGGTCATGTTTGTAACTGAAAATGAAAATAATTATCCTATAAATAATAGTGTACATAAAATTAACACTAGAGTACAAAATAGACTACACATCACGTCAGCTAGACTATCCATTATACAAAAGGGAGTGTATTATATATCCATAAATTTTTTAATAATTTGCCACATAAATTATATATTTTAAAGGATAATGTTAATTTATTTAAATGAAAACTTAAAAACTTTATCTTGAAAGCTTTCTATTCTATTGATGAATATATGGCAAATACCTAATTGTATTATATTCCTATTGCATCTAGGTTGTGTCTATTTGGACTTGGTTGTATATCGCAACTACTTTTAATTAATCTGACGAGCTCAATATCTGGCCCAATATGGGCAACAGATCTGTGAAGCTATGTATGTACGTAGTGTGTTTAAAAAGTATCAAGCCTTTGGTCAGCAGAAATACATTTATTGATTTGGAGGTACAAAACCCTAATCCCCTTCAAAGTAGTCTCCTTGGTGACTTCTCCCAGCGCTTCCGCCATTGTTGGAAACACTTCTGGAACGGTGATCAGCCGGGCCATCGCATTCCGCATGATGTCTTCTCTTGACTCAAACTGGGTTCCTTTCAGCGGCATTTTCAGCTTGGGAAATAGCCAAAAGTCACACAGAGCCATGTCAGGGGGAGTAGGGAGCCTGACGAACCACAGGGATGTTGTGCTTGGTGACGAAAGTCTGAATCAGATGCGCAGTTTTGGTACGAATTTCGCGGACACTCTCCTCATGCCCAAATCCTCGGTCAAAATTGAACGTACCAATCCAATGCTTACCCCTGTCTCGTTCGCAATTTCTTGGACTGTGATACGACGGTCCTCCATGATCAAAGTCCGCACTTGCTCAATGACATTCTCATTTTGGCTTGTTGAGGGTCTGTCTGAATGCAGTCCGCTGTCCACTGATGTGTGGCCATCTTTGAAGCGGTTGTACCATTCCTTATCCATCAGTTGCTCGTGGCATCGTCCCCGAAAGCCTGTTGAATCTTGTGAATGGTTTCCACTTGGGTATCACCAAGCTTTTGGTACAATTTGATGCAATACTGCTGCTCATGTTGTTCTGTCATTTTACACCTTACTGGAATCCAATGAGCGCTCACTACACATCCTCACTCATGGGCCGACTGCCAGCGACTGACGCTTTCTGCGGGCGTGAAGAAATTCACAACTGCGCATGAATGTCCCTTCCACATCTCCACCGAAGGGAGCCTCCCGCGCTTCATTGGTTTACGCGAGAAAAACGAAGGCTCGATACTTTCTGAACACACCACATATGTACGTATGGAATGCTCAACCAATCTGACCAGCCAATCCAGTTCAGACAATTCTCCATCTGCATCCACCTTATCAGCAATGAGGTTACCAACTCAAAGAGATCTGTATCATGTGACATGGATTTCTATTAAGTTCTAGTCTTGACTGTTCAGGTTTTACTCCAAGGATGGCACTTGCAGTAGGCACTATATATTTTTTTCATTAATTCTACATATAATTCTATTCATTATTATGTGCATTCTATGCATTAAACACGTTAATACATAATAGTAAGAGGTCACTGGTGTGACATCACCATTCTGGATGTTCATGCCCCCAACAGAAGATAAAATTGATGACATAAAGGACAGGTTCTATGAAGAATCAGAACATGTATTTGACAAAATCCCAAAGTACCATATGAAAATTTTGTTGGGAGATTTCAATGCCAAAGTAGATAGGGAAGATATTTTCAAACCAACGCTTGGGAATGAGAGTTTGCACGAAATTAGTGATGATAATGGAGTTTGAGAGTAGTAAACTTTACCACATCAAAAAATAAAAAATCATAAGTAGTGTTCTCACATCGTAACATCCATAAATGTACTTGGACATCTCCTGATGGGAAGACACAGTAAAATCGACCATATTTTGACAGATAGGAGACAGTATTCAAGTATATTTGATGTCTGATCTTTCATGGCAGCAGACTGTGATACTGACCACTATCTGGTGGAGGCAAAGGTTAGGGAAAGATTGCCAGTGAGTAAGCAAACAATGCACATAGTTCATAGGGAGAGGTTCAATCTCAAGAAATTAAACAATGTAGAGGGTAAATAGCAGTATCATGTTGAAATTACAAACAAGTTTGCAGCTTTAGAAAACTCACACACTGAGGTGGGTGTTAATAAAGCTTGGGAAACTATTAGAGAGAATATGAAAATTTCTGCCAAAGAGAGTCTAGGTTATTATGAACTGAAGAAGCATAAGCCGTGGTTAGATGAAAGATGCTCAGAATTACTAGACCAAAGGAAACAAGAAAATTGCAGTGGTTAGATGATCCATCCGAAATAAATGGGGACAGTATGAACAATAAAAGATGTGAAACCAGCAGGCATTTCAGAAATAAAAAGAGGGAATATTTGGCAGACAAAATTGATGAGCTTGCAATCAACAGTAAGAACAAAGAGACCTGTATAGAGGAATAAATGACTTCAAGAGGGGTTACCAACCTAGAAGTAACTTAGTGAACGAAGAGAATGGTGATATACTTGCAGATTCCCACAATATTTCAAATAGGCGGAAGAACTACTTCCCTCAGTTATTGAATGTACAAAGGGTCAGTGATGTTAGGGAGACAGAAATACGTCCTACACCTTAGCTGTTAGTACCTGATCCTAGACTTTTTGCAGTTGATAGTGATATTGCCAAATTGAAAAGGTATAAATCACCAGGTAGTGATCACATTCTGGCAGAACTTATTCAAGCAGCAGGAAAAATATTACGTTCTAAGATCCACACGCTAATTACTTCTATTTGCCATAAGGAAAAATTGCCTGAACAGTGGAAGGAGTCTATTACTGCACCAGTTCACAAGAAGGGTGATACAACTGACTGTAGTAATTATTGTGGGATATCACTGCTATCCACCTCATACAATATTTTGTCCAATATTCTTCTCTCACGGTTAAGTCCATACATGGAAGTACATTCGTAGATTAAACTATTTGGAATCATCAGTGTGGGTTTCAACGTAACAGATCAACTACTGATTAGATATTTTGCATTCTTCAGATATTGGAGAAAAAATGGGAGTACAGTGAGACTTTACATCAGCTATTCGTAGACTCAAGAGAGCCTATAATTCAGTTAGGAAGGAGGTATTGTACAATATTCTGATAGTCTGGAGTACCCATGAAACTATCTATGCTGACTAAAATGTATTTACAAGAAACGTACAGTAAAGTAAATATAGGTAAACATTTTTCTGATAATTCTCTTATCCACAATGGTGTAAAACAAGGAGATGCTTTATCGCCACGCCTTTTCAACTTTGCTTTAGAATATGCCTTTAGGAAGGTCAAAGAAAACCAGGTACGACTGAAATCAAATGAGACATGTCAGCTGTTAGCATATGCTGATGATGTGAATCTACTGGCTGATAATACATATACCATAAAGAGAAACATAAACTTTAATTGACGCTAGTAAGGAGGTTGGTCTAGAAGTAAACACAAAGTAAATACATATATGTTGCTAGCTCATCACCAAAATGCAGGGCAAAATCATAACATAAAGATAGGTAACAAATGATTTTGAAAATGTGACACAGTTCATATATTTGGGAATGGCGATAACAAATCAAAACCTGATTCAGGAGAAAATTAAGAGAAGATTGAACTTGGGTAATTAATACTACCATTCTGTTCAGAACCTTTCGTCTTCTCATCTGCTGTCTAAAAATATAAACATTATAAAGTACAAAACTATAATTTTGCCTGTGGTTCTGTATGGGTCTGAAACCTGGTCTCTGACTTTAAGGGAGGAACACAGACTGAGGGTGTCTTGAGAACAAAGTGCTGAGGAGAATATATGGACCAAAGAGAGATGAAGTGACAGGAGATTAGAGAAAACTGCATTATGAGGATATTCATAACTTGTACTCTTCTCCATGTATAATTAGAATGATCAAGTGAAGGAGGATGAGATGTGTAGGGCATGTAGCACGAATGGTGGCGAGGAGGAATGCATATAGGATATTGGTGGGAAAGCCAGAAGGAAGGAGCCCACTAGGAAGACCAAGAGATAGGTGGGTGGACAATAGTAAAATGGATCTTAGAGTAACAGAATGGGATGGTATGAATTGGATTGATCTGGCTCAGGATAGGGACCAGTGGAGGGCCCTTGTGAACACGGTAATGAACCTTCGGGTTCCATAAAATGCTGGGAAGTTCTTGAGTAGATGCACAACTGGCAGCTTCTCAAGAAGGGTTCAGCTCCATGAATGAATAATATAGGAATAGCTGCATATCAGCTGGCACTGATGGTGCAGCAGTTATGGCTTGGAAATTCAAAAGATTCTTCGACTTTGCAAAAAAACAGAATTCCTGTTTTAATAACTACTTACTGCTGTCTTCATCAAGTTCTAATGGTGAAGTGTTTACAGAGGTGATTTGGCAGAAGTTCTCATCAGTCATCAGGATGGTAAACTATACAAAATCTTGCCCAGCGAAAGGCAGGTTATTCAAGAAGTTGTTCAGTGACATGAGTGCAAACCACAAAATGCTGTTATTTCATGGTTATCTTGAGGTAGAATTCTGACTTGTGTCTTGGAGCTATAGGGAAAAGTCAGTTATTTTCTGAGACAGAATATCCTGAATTCTCAGAAAAGTTCAGTGATACATTGTGGTCTGCAGAGTTAGTGTATATAACATATATTCTCCTAAAACTTAAAACCATGAATGCCAGGATGCAAGATGAAAAACAAAATTTGATCTCAGCAAGTGACAAAATGATACCATTCTCAAAGAAACTGTCTACATGGAGATCACCCTCAGAAAATATGGATTTGTCAAGTTTCCCCTTTTATGAGATATTACAAGTCAGCTAAATCCTAAAGAAAACCACCGTTTACAGAAACTTACTGCAAAACATCTGTGACTTTATAAACAGCTCTGGATAATTACGTTCCATCTACTTCAATTAGAAGAGGAGAATGTGTAATGCCAGTGTGCAGAGCCTGTGGTGAACACGGTAAGAGCAACAGCAGGCCTTACTTCTAACTGACCAACATATCTGCTGACACAACATGAAAACTCAAGTTTCATAACCTTCCTTTGGATTCATTTTGGATCTACATACAAAATGAGTACCCAGTCCTTGCTAATAAAGCTATGGATAGTTTACTTCCTTCTGCAATATCATATCTGAGTGAAAGCATACTTTCTACCTCAAAGACAATGAAAATGTAGAGCAGATCAAGATTGAGAGATGCTTAGAATATGTGTATCAACCATCTGACTGCAAATTGAGAAACTGTGTTGGTTTCATCAAGCAGAGATCTCCCACTGACTTGGAAAGAGTTAAATAATAATTTTTATTCATTTATTTGGAGCCATTCATGTATGATTTCACATAGTTTAGATCGCTTTCTGACTCTTCACCCTATCTTGGCATGTTTTAACACATTAACACATGCTCTTCCCCCTGCTTTTGAGTGTAGGAAGACTTTATGAATGACCCCGTAACGTCTGCACACCCAAAGACAACACCATATGTGGCTTGTGGGACCAACAGACAAGCAAGGGGCAAAACTGCAGACAAACCATAACAGGCTCGCATATGGAAAGGGTGACCCGCTGCAACGTAAACATCTGAAGAAGGATATTTTGTTTAGACAAGTGGATGACACCCATTATGAGTTGGAATTAAGAGTTTTATATAATTAAAATTTTAACAATTTTTAATTGATTTCAAAAGGAATGAACTTTAACATATATGATTTTAACGTACAACAGTTGGGTGCAACTGTAACATTTTAATTATGAAATGTTTAGTTAGGTGCATGTGGA